TGTGTGTGTGTGTGTGTGTGTGTGTGTGTGTGTGTGTGTGTGTGTGTTAGTTATTTGAAAGAGTGACTGAATGAGATTGTGAGTGCGTCTGTCATTCTGCTTTCGGTGTGTCCTCTCCCACTTCCATGACGAATGAAGATGATGAACCGACTGCGTCATGCAGTGAATTGAAGCTTCACACTCGTGACAATATATTAAAGCTTTGTTTGTGCATCAACATGAGTTTACTGCCATCTGTACTGTTAAGACAATCGGAGGAACTGTGACCTTTCTATGTGATCTTCATTTCTTTGTTGTAGTGTGACAGAATTTGAGTTTTAAAAGCAGGTTGTCTTCAAATGTGTCCACAAAATGTGTTTTCTAACATTGTAAATCAAAACTGGAAGTCTTGCGTGTCTTTAATATGTGCTTGCTCTGAAAAGCCTCACTCGTGCATGTGCCAAGCAGCATTTAAAGTCTGTTTGAGCTATTGGGAAGGTTCTTAACCTGTAACTTTATCTGGGTGACTTTTGCCTTTTTATTATGTCTTAATTTATCTTCTCTTAATTAAATAAAACTGGAACTTTAATGAAGTGTCTTCCTGTCTGACTTTAAACTTTCAGATTTATTTCTGTTTCTTCTGGTGCCATTCCTCACAAAGTGGGAAATTGGATTTTACTTGGTCCAAATTACAACATTCATGCACCAGCGTTTTCTCTAATTGTTTTTTTTTTTTTATAGCAGTGGCAAGTCAGGGAAATTATATTTCTGGATCCATAACTTCTGCTGATTTGGATGTAGTTTATTTTGCAGCATTACGTTTTTCTTATTAATGAATTTTATCTGCTGTATTTTTAAATGGTGCACAAATATCTCGCGCTGTCTTGTGAAACACAAGTTTCACTTAAATACCTCAAATTCATTTTTATATCTATAAATACATATTTTTGTTAGGAAATTTGCAGATGTAGTTGTCTAACTTTGACTAAAACTATATATTATTATTATTATTCAAATTGTGTATCGCCTGCTTTTTTTTTTTTTTTTTTTTTTTAAATCGTGATTTGTTGCAGGAAAGATGCCATTTCTCTCCCATCCTTCGTATCTACTTGATCCTTTGACCCGTCACCCTCGAGTACATTTACCGGCATTCAGACAGCCTAACCACCCACAATTAAATTTGTCTTTGGCTCTGTATTCACGCTTGAGGGGGTCTGAATGGGAGGCCCTTTGTGTTTGTGCACTGGATGTAATGCATGGGAAATGGTGGATGTAGCCGGTGCTATGGCCACACACCGCCACGGGGAGAGGAAGGCAACCATCTGGAAATGGCTGCTGTGAAGATGCTGGGTGTTTGCTATGTATCCCTTCAGCCACCGGTGGCCGACAGGTTATTGATTAAACAGAAATTGGACGCAGAAACCAATTATTCCGTTGTGTGGTTTGATGTGAAATCTTCTACACACATTTGTGGTCCCCGGAGGATAACCCCTACTACCGGCTGATCCCCTGACGACCAGCAGGTTGACATTTTTGTTTTTAGTAACGCGTCTTGAATGCTGTCTGGTGCATTGCCAGGAAGTTTGGTACAGATATTCAGATGATGAATCCTAATGATTTTTGGTGATTCTCAAACTTTTCACTTATCTTGTGAAAGATCTCAACGTCTACTAAATTGATTGCCACAAGATTTTGTGCAGACGGGGTCACAGATGATGAATCCCACTGACTAGATGAAGTTGCTAGAGGAAGTCTCGGCTAATTGTAAATGTTAAATACTTATGCTTTTGACCAAATACCTGCAAACCTAATGACATTCCCGCCTCAGCTGTACTTACTGTTAATTAGCAAATGTCAGCATGCTTATCGAAGGTGGTTACTGTGGTAAAGATTATATTGTATATTATATAGTGGTTACGTGCATTGACGTTAGCATTTAGCTCAGAGCACCAGTTTTCTGAACACTTCTCATTGATGTTGGCTTAGAAGTTTTTAAAGACTTTAAAATTAATTTGTATTACCTAAAAAAATGTTATTCAGTTTGATAGGGCCCAAAAGTCACTCATGTATTCTGCTTATTGCAAATGAGCTCATAGGACGTTTAGAAGACTTTTCATGCTGAAAATAGTCTTGTTTTGAATAATGCCTCTTTTTGTTTTCTCTGAATCCCTCTCTTGTCATATCCAAGCTGACTTTCTATCTGCATATTTCTGCATAATATTTCCTCCTGCCCGACCCTCCATTATCATGCTCCTCCCTGGTCTTCTGCAGTTCCCAGGCTCACCGACAGAGGGCGACAGAGCACAAGGCTGTCTTTATGGAGAGTTGGTGAGTCATACAGTGAGACCGTCACGTACAGACAAACGGCTCAAAACAAGGCCCGGTCTGACTCGGCCATAGGCCTTTTATTAGCAGCAGGGCTATGTTTCCTCACACTCAATAATGATCAAACGAAATGAATGAAATGTTTTCATTCCTCTTCGACATGGGCTGACAATTAATTTGGGCGTCCTTATACTTGGCTGGTATACTTCCTGGTTTATCCCCTCTGCGGTCTCTTGCCTTCTATGCATGTTGTTTTGCTCTGTTATGTATTTACAGTACATACAGCTTACTGTACATAATCCCGTATTGCTGCCTCTCTCCGTGGTGCTGAAACAATGAGGTCGCTGTCCGTGGTGCTGATCCCAAATATGACAAGATATGTGATTTTCTTTTTTTAGATCAAAATCTTTCCAAGCTGAATTCACATATGATTAATAAAACTAAATACAAATCATCAATCATGTACCTCTTCATGTACCTGAATGATAGTTATAGGCCTGCTTTGATGTATGTATTAAGGTGGGTTTCGACATAACTTAACATATTGTTCGATTGTGGCATCTTCCGTTAATTTTTAATTTTGATATGATCTTGTGATCAAATTCCTCCAGATGTACTAAAATACTTTGTTTTAGTGGGGAGTATGTCTTGTATTGCTTTTTTTTTTTAAAAATTGCTGGCATCCAACCACTAGGAAGTGTATGAACTGAAAGAAAAATCAAGTGTGGACAGAAAAGGGAGAGGGCACAGCACCTCCCACGGAGAGAGAGAGAGAGAGAGAGAGAGAGAGAGAGAGAGAGAGAGAGAG